ACACTCCCCTGGCAATGAAAAGTTTTTACACAATAACCCATAACCCAGGGTAAGCGGCAGGTAGCAAAATGCTTTTGCAGCCCACCTGGACCATTTTAGTCCCCACTACATTCAGAAATACTGCTCTAACAAAACTTTATATAGAAACTTTAATAAGGGGTACACACTGGCTACAAGAAGAGTGCCCACATGTTACTGAGAACTGGTTTGTTGATGCTGATGCAGTCAGACGCTCCTTCTACTTCATGCAATGCCACTTTGAATGCAATGTCAATATCAATAATTGATACGGGAGTTAGTGAGTGAACTCAAAGTTTTGACACTGATACACTTTAGCTTCAAATTCAAATATGCTTCTATAAGAGATGGACCAAATGTGACAATCAAAGGTAAAATATTACTATTATTTTGGCAATAAGTTTTGTTATTAGAAAGCTTTAAATTATGATTGGAAAAATCGAAGTACAGAATCTACTTTTTCAAATGTAAAATTTAAATGCAGGTCAAGTATTTCAAAGGAAAATTTTGCACCTGCATTGAGATGATGTATGGTAAACATGAATGACGTGAAAACTTTAAATGTATAAAAAATAACTCATTTTTATATTGGTTATATATTGAAATTATAATGTTTTAGATATATTGGGTTAAATAATTGCTAAAAATAAGCTCACTAGATAAGGCTATTGAAAAACTGTAGCTTACAAGATTTTGTCCCATTCTACTGATTCAGAGCAGGGTACTTTACGGATTCAGAGCAGGGTACTTAAGAGGGTGGCTTAGGCACGTAGTGGAAGCAGTCAGTCAGCACAGTGGCTAGCTCTGAAAGAGCTGCTGAATGGCCATAGCATACACACCAGGGAAGGAAAAACTGGATGCAACCACATGCATAAACCATTTTATATCCTTTTTTCAAGATCATATCATAAACATTTCACCTGGCTATTAACAATGGAGACTTGGTGGTAGGCTGCTAACTGCAAGGCTGGTGATTCAAAACAACTGGCCCCTCTGCAAGAGAGAGATGAGGCTGTCTATGCCTGTAAATATTTCCAGTCTTAAAACCTTATGTTCCTGTATCGGGTCACTTGCTATCAGTTGTAGTCAACTTGTTGGCAATGAGTATTAAAAATAATTCTATTCTTAAGGATTCACAGTGGTACAGCGGCTAAGTGATCAACTACCAACTGAAATTCTATGATTATTTTACTTAGAGACCAGCCTCCACAACTCAATGGATCCTAAGTGGGGGGTTGTGTAACTAAGGGGTAAATTAAAAAAAACAACATCAGACAAGACATGCAAGGGCTCACCTCTTTCGATAGCAGGATCAAGAAAGATTGCAAATGTACTCTTATAGGCTTATATAATCTTAGGCATGCAAGCCATGTCACATACATACGTAACAGGAAGGAGGCATGTTAGAGGCACACACATAACAGGAAGGGGATGTACTAGGGACATACACGTAACAGGATGACACATCCGTAACAAGATGGGCGGGTTCTAGAGTTAAGATGGCAGCTTCACCTTGATCCTCTCTGAGCTGGCTTGACCTTAAGTGTCCCTGAGCTCTTCTCCAGGGAAACAACTATAATCTATGATCCTGATCAGAAGGTACTGGGCTGTACTTAGACTTGACAGCAACCTTCAAGCAGCTAACCTTCCAGCATATCGTAGCAATCATATGCATGCAAGCAGCACCTTAAAATTGACATTATGATGGGGGGTACATTGCGGGGAATAACTTTTAGTTAGGAGAATGTGATTGGGATTCAATTCCAACTCACAAGCATGAAGGCCTCCCTCCACGAGATTCTTGACTTCCCAAACTCCTTAAAACATGAGCATAGAGAATCTGTCCACATATACTCTTTCTGGTTCTCAGTTTCCCACAACTATAAACAGTTAGTCTTGGAAATCCACAAGGGATCGCTGAGTCAGCCTTTACCCAGTGGCAGTGAGTTTTGAGTGTAATGATGGAGCCAGGTCCCTAGGTGTTTGTACTTTTTAACCCACAGGTTGACGCATTGAGCCCCACAGCAGTCCCAGGGAAGAGAGCTGACAATCTGCTGCTGTAAAGATTTCAGCCAGGAAAACCCTATGGAGCAGTCCTACTCTGTAACACATGAGGTCGCAGCGAGTTGGAATCAATTCAATGGCAACAGGTTATGATGTACACAGCTTCATCCTTTAATATGTGGACATCATAAATTGGTTGATAGTTTTCTTATATTGAGCCATCTTCCTATTCCTAGAATATACTTAGGGCATAATGTGCCCTTTTTAAAGATACTGTAGATTTAATGTGCTACTATTCTGTTGCAAATGTTTGCATTTTATTGGGCACAGGTAAAATATTTTAGTGTTTTCTGCACAAGCAGTCTATTGTTACTATGCTTTAGTATCAAGGTTAGGGTAGTTTTTTTTAAAAGGCGCTTTTCATCTTTTTCTATGGACCAAAAGAGCTTAATTAAGAGAATTTTTTAGAATTCAAAAAACAGAATTTAGTCATAAACCTTCTCTGTGGAGGGAAGGGGGAGCGGGGAGGGAGGGGAAAAAATGAGGACCTGGTGCTAGGGGCTTAAGTGGAGAGCAAATGTTTGGAGAATGATGAGGGCAATGAATGTACAAATGTGCTTTACACAACTGATGTATGTATGGATTGTGATAGAGTTGTATGAGCCCCTAATAAAACGATTAAGAAAAAAATAAAATAAAATGTTTGGGAAATGATGATGGTAACCTATGTACAAATGTGCTTGACACAATAGATGGATGGATGGATTGTGATAAGATCCCCCAATAAAATGATTAAAAAAGAAAAAAAAAACCTTCTCTGTACAGGGGTACCTTTTTTGTGGGAAATCTTCAACAATCCTCTCATCTTTCCTCCTCAGTTATCTATAGGTTCAAAGTAAGGGCTAGCAGTATATAATTTCTGCCCCCACAAAGATTTACAGCCTCACAAACCTCAGACAGCTCGCAATGAGTCAGAATCCACTCAATGGATTTGGTTTTATGCTCTCTGGGAAATTACTCATGGCTAAAGCAAACATGCTTGCTGCTGTGACCAACCTAATCTCTCCAAGGTTACCAGGAGTAATAAGCTAGAGGGCACACAGATATTAACTGGGGAAAGGGGAAGATAATCTCCTACAAAAGGGGGATAGACAATACTGGAGTGGAACAGGGTAGGCCACTGGGAGGTTTGAGAAGTTGCTTAAGATGTTGAATGCAAAAATAATTGGATATGTAAACCCCTGCCTAATTCACAATTAAACATTTCAAATAAACAAAAATTGTTTTTGTTTTGTTTTTGCCTTTCCCTTACCTCAGTATATCTAATTCTACTTAATTTCTTTTTAATAGCTGCATCATATTCTATAGTACAGATGAACAATAAATTACATAAACATGCCTGAAATGATACGGATTCAGAGTGTCCAATGTGTTTGTATACAAACTACTCACTTCACCAAGACATATATATATGCTGCTGATACTTCTGTAACAAATTAAGAAGTCCAGTAAAACCCAAACTCATGGCCATTGAGTCAATTCCAACTCATAGCGCCACTATACAGAGTTCTCCAAACTGTAAATCTTCTAGGGGACAGGCACTCATCTTTCTCCTGTGGAGTGGCTAGTGGATTTGAACAGCCAACCTTGTGGCAGCCCAATGCCTAACCCACAGTGCCACCAGGACTCCTTATTTTAGATTTTACTGTGTATCTTCAGATTACTTTGTGACAGCAAAACACTTACCAAAGCAAACAAGAAGGCTGCTTTTTAATTTTCTTGCCAAAACTGATAGATCTTTTCAATTTTACCATTCCTTGATCAGCAGTTCAAAACCATAGCCACTTTGAGGGAGTTCTAACCTGTCCTACAGGGTCACTGTGAGTCAGAAATAACTCAATGGCAGTGAGGTTTGGGTTGTTGTTTTTAATATACACTAATAGAAGTATAGAAATGTAGAATGAGGGCGTGAAGACTCCCATACTATTCAAAATTGGTCCTGAATTGCTTCAAAGTATACCTAGAGTCAGAATACATCATACAGACAAAAAGAAACATAATCACAAAAAGTAAAGGAAGACAAAAGGAACTCAAAATTGTCATAGAAAAACAAGAATATGATTCCAATAATATAGAAACTGGCCATTTAGGATGTGAAACATCTAACTAGTAGACAGTTGAAAAATAATTTACTTCCTATGTGAAGCCTAGTTTGTTTATACACAATGGGTAGTTTCTCAATGACTACGTAAAACTGTACTAGGTTCATTTCTGATTCTCTAACAATTAAAGCAAGAATCTAAAAATGTGATGTTACAAGAAGCCCTGTGAGAAAAATGCATCTTAAAATTCAACTGAAATAATATTATAAGCAAAGAATGCAGAGTACCATAGATGATCTTACCAATGAAGCACCAAAAAGATATACAAAGTAGAGCAAGGTATTAGATGGCAACTATTTTGCTCCTATACCATAATATAGTCATGCCTGCAAACCACAAGGTAAGCAGTTCAATATCACCAGCTGTTCCATGGGAGAAAAGTAAAGCATCCTATTCTCATAAACAGGTACAGTCTTGGAAACGCAGTGTCAGTTCTACTCTGTCCTATAAGGTCACTATGAGTCAGAATGGACTCCATAGCAGTAAGTGAGAGTCCCATTCCGGAGCACTGGTAGCACAGTGGGTTAAATGTTGGGCCGCCAACCAAAAGGTTAGCGGTTCAGACCCACCAGCTGTTCTATGGAAAAAGAATGAGGCCATCTGCTCCCATAAAGATATACGGTCTCGGAAACCCTAAGGGGCAATTCTGTCCTATAGGGTTGTTCTGAGTGAGAATCAACTCAATGGCAGTGGGGTTCCTAGTAATTCTCATCTGCTCAAATCATGGGTATCACTATCTTTTTTATAATAATGCTAACTTTTAAACACAATACTTACTTTTCCAAAATATAAAACCACTGCCTCGGGGAAACATACCTAGGAGCTGTTTCTTGAGCACTTCCAATACAAGTTTGATTTTTGTAAAAACTTCTGATGGTGATGGATGTTCCAAATCAGTCTTCACGGATTCAAACCGAAAGATAACGACACTGGGCTGACTTTCTATCACAGCGTAAAGGGATGGGCAGGATGTCAGAGGCCTAAGGATATACTTCAGCAGCATCTTACCTGGAAAATCATATAAGCACCAATCAAAACTCCCAAGAAACTTCTGGAAAATAAAGATGTTTAAAAAAAACAATGGATTTTAGAGCCAAGAACAATAAATATACCACAGCATTAAAAATCAACCATTGTTAATAAACCCAGGGACAAGGGGACAACAAGTGATCCAAAATC